TGGACCACCCCCACCGTCTGGGCTGGGTGAGAAATACAGTCCAAAGCTAGTCTTTTAATAGTCATAGCCCTGGTCCTTGGTAGAAAGGCCATGGACGCCACGGAATCCAGATGCGCACCTATGAACTCGAGTTGTTGCGATGATAGTAGATGTGATTTTTCCAGGTTCACACACAGGCCTAATCGGCTGAGCAAGTCTAGCGTCTCCGCGACATTGCACCCTAGTTCCCCTTGCGTGGGTGCGACCATGAGCCAGTCGTCGATGTAGGGAAACACCAACATTCCCTTTACTCGCAGGTAAGCATACTTTCAACTGTGCATCAGGGAGGGGGACGAACATAAGACTGCCTTTAACACCCCACTAGGCCAATTTGAATACCTGGTGATGCTGTTTGGGCTTGCAGGCACCCTGGGGGTGTTCATGAACTTGATCAATGAAGTGTTACACGCATATTTATTCAAGGGGGTTCTTGTTTATCTTGATATCTTGATCTATTTGAAAGATAAGGACTTACATGTGCAGCTAATTAGGAATGTGCTGAAAGCCCTCCATAAGTATCGACTGTTTGCAAAACTGTCTAAGTGCGAGTTCCACAAGGAGGAAATAAACTTCCTGGGCCACCGAATTTCTGGGAGAGGTCTGGGCATGGACCTCCACAAAATTCAGGATGTACTGGGTTGGGATCCCACTCATATGAGGAGGCAGTTACAGTCATTCCTCAGGTTCACCAATTTCTACCGCCCATTCATCCCCAATTTCACCCAGGTGGTCCTACTTCTCATTGATCTATTGAAAACTAAGAGGAAAGGACCAGAAATCCACAAGCCAAGTTATAAGTTGTCATGGACCCCAGATTACCAGCAGGCTTTTGACAAACTGAAGGCTTTGTTCACCTCTGAGCCAATTCTAAATCATCCGGATGAAAATAAGCCCTTTGTGGTGCAAGTACATGCTTCTGATGTGGTGATGGGGGGCAATACTGCAAAAAGGGGAGGATAGGAACTTGCACCCCATCGTATATGTGTCAAAAAAGTTCTCTGAGACACAGAGGAATTGGGCAGTTTGGGATAAAGAAGCTGCTGCAATTAAATTGGCTCTAACCACTTGGGGGCATTGGTTAGAGGGAGCCAGGGTGCCATTTGAAGTGTGGACTGACCATAAGAACCTAGAGGCATTACACACACCCTGGCACCTGAATGCTAAACAATTGTGTTGGGTGGAATTTTTCTCCAAGTTCTAGTTTACTCTCAAGCACCTCCCGGGGAAGTCCAGTTTTCTCACTGATGCACTCTCACATCTTCCCCAGCATGCCACCAAGTGGTAGGAAGCCACTGACTCAATGTTTACCCCAGCCCAGCTGGGGGGGGGGCAGTTCTCACCCGGAGTTGAGCCAAGGTGGAAGGGCCCTTCAGTGGTGAATGCTGGGTGGAAAGGTTCAAAACCGTCTTCAATGATACCAATAAAGAGGAAATAGAAAAGGAGGTTACTCTCACCCAGGTGGAGAAGGGATGCTGGTATCATCAACAGAAAATATTCATGCCCGGGGCCTTGCACGAGGAAATTTTGCAACTGGGACAAGACAAAAAACTGGCTGGGCATTTCGGGTACCTAAAGACTTTGAACCTTATACAAAGGCAATTTTGGTGGCTGTGCATGCGGCCTGACATTTCCCAATACGTTTCTTCTTGCCAAGTATGCTTGATGGGGAAACAACGGGCTGGAAAGCCCCCAGGTTTATTGCAACTGTTGGAGATCTCTGAAAGGCTGTGTCATTTCTATGGATTTCATAACAGATCTGCTGCCCAGCAAGGGGAGAACTGTGATCTGGGTAGTGGTGGATCTCTTTTCTAAACAAGCACAATTTGTCCCCTGCAAACAACTGCCCTTGGCTAAGAAACTGGCACAGCTGTTCATGCAGCACATTGTGAGACTGCATTCTGTACCCTGGAAAATCGTATCTGACTGGGGCCCTGAATTTGTGGCAGAGTTTTGGAAAGAGTTGTTGAAGCTGTTGGGGGTTGAACAGGGGCTCAGTAGTGCATACTACCCAGAGATGGATGGCCAGACAGAGAGAACCAATCAAGTTCTGGAACAATTCCTGAGATGTTAAATTAATTACCAGCAGGACGACTAGGTGGATCTGCTCCCTTATGCAGAGTATAGTTACAATAATTCGGTCCACAGCTCTACTGGGGCCACCACTTCAAAGTGGTAGAGGGGTATGAGGCCCCCCCTCCCCACTGTGGCAGCAGACCCTGCTGTGCCAAAGGACTTACAAACCTGGTGGTCAGAACTGGCACAGCAATGGACTTTAATACAGCAGACTCTGGTCAAGGTGAAGGAGGACTGTAAGTCTCAAGCCGATAGGGCCCGGGCACCTGAATGGGAGATCCACCCCGGGGACTCTGTGTTTATTTCTACCAAGAACCTTAAGGGGCTGCAGCCGGGGAAGAAACTGGGCTGGAAATATGTGGGCCCTTTTAAAGTTGTAAGAGTGATTAACAAAGTGGTGGTTGAACTGAAGTTGTCTAAGAACTTACGACACATCCATCCTGTTTTCCATTTCAGTCTGCTGAAGACAGATCCTGGACCCTCTAAGTGGAGACCCCGTCCTCAGGTTCCACCTCCCCTGTTTGTGGATGGGGAACTCCACCAGGAGGTGGAAGAAGTCTTAAACTCAAGCGGGGCCACCTGTACTATCTCATTAATTGGCGAGACTTTTACCGTAGTCATAATGAATGGGTGAGAAGTGATCATGTCAATGCTCCCATGCTGGTTCGCACCTTTCATAAATCTCACCCTCACAAGCCGGTGACGGGTGAGAAGTCTTTGGGGGGAGGCAGAATGTCAAACTCGGGTCCTCATTTGCCATGGATTTCACGTGTTCTATTTTTACTGCCTTTGATGCTTTGTTCTTTTGCTTTGGGGAATGGGGGGGCAGACTGTGCGAGAGTGTGTGTGTTTAAGATTGTTTTGCCACGCTAATTTACAACTGCTTTCCAAGTGGGCCTCCCAACTGTGGGAAGAATGTACAATGACCTTGAATGCCAGTCTCCACTAGCTGGCTTGTAGTAGATAATGTAACTGGAGGTTTGCAGTGGGGGGAGGAGGGCTAACAGAGCACGCTAGGTTTAGGCGGGCTGAATGAATGGAGTGATTGGCCCAGTCATGGGGGGGACTTGTTTGAATCATGTATAATTGCAGACCTGGTGCCAAAGAGTCAGCTTTGACACACATGGTCTTAGCTTGATACATTCTCATCTCTCATTAAACAAATCACTGCAAAGAGAGTGTTGTTGGGAGCAAGTTTGTTCAAGAGTCAAGAGTTTGTTCAAGAGTCAAAGTTCCCCCAAAACCCCTCTAAGCTACTCTACACTCCAATCATGCTAAATGGGGAGGGAGACCTCAACAATGAATCTCCAGAGCAAAAAGAGGGGGACAAAAGAGAATAAAAACCAAGGACTTTGGAAGGAGCTGAACTGAAGCTCCACGCTTGATGAGTGTAAAAGCAAAGTAAAATGCAGTAAAGGAATCCACACAGTTCCACACAAGTGGGTATAAAAGTAAAATGATTTAGAAAAATCAGCTCAGCCTTCTCACCTTGTTCTAACCCGAACAAGGGAGGTGGTTTATTAACATGGAAGCCAAGTTAAATGGAAGGGGGAGAGATTGAGGGAGGGAGCAAAAGTGTAAGGTGAATGTGATTGGGCTAGATTGGTAAAATAGTAAAAGACAGATTGTAGACTGTAAATAAATAGATGAAAATAAAGTTAAAAGGTTAACAGTTAAAAGTTAATGTATAAAAGTTGGAATAAATAAAATAGAGTTAAAAGTTTAATAAGAAATAAAAAGAAATAGACTGGTGTATATATACAACCCTGTCCCCCGGCCCTCTGATTAGCAGGAGAGGGGAGCTGGGAAAGGAGTGTTTGCAGCTGGCAGGCTAACAAATTAAACCAAGGCTAAAAGGTGCACACTAACTCAGCTTAGAGGGAACACTGCTTCCAACCATACTGTTCCAACCATCACTGACAGCTTTCGAGAAGAGGCTGGATGAATATTTGTCAGAGATGCTTTAGGCTGGTCCTCCATTGGGCAGGGGGTTGGACTAGATGGTCTGTATGGCCCCTTCCAACTCTATGATTCTATTATTATAGCATGTAATGTGCTTGAAAACTCTTGTTTTCCAGTTCTTGGCTGGCAACCAAGAGTTTATTTAGGTTTCATTTTTATTATATATATATATTCATTCCTGATTGTCACTAGAACATACTTCTCCAACAATTACTAAAATGAGTGGATAGATGAAAGGGAGTTCATCATATTGATGGCTTGCTTGCACCATTTATATTTAAATCAATGCTAGTCCAGATTTGCTTCCCAATCCAAAACTGGTCCAAGAGAATGGGAAATTCTAATACCATTGTATTCCGTTACAACTGTGGCTTGCCATTTTTTGTTTATATTCTGAGAACTATATGTGCTTTCAGAAAAAGGTATCAAATGTCCATTTCCCCCTGAAGTTTGGTACTCTACTGATTTGATTAATGCACATACCTTCCTTGCGTTAAAGATTATATTAATCAACTAATGGATGATTCAATCATTTTCTGAAGGGCAAGAAGATCCAGGCTCAGTATAAGCACAATGTCCTTCAACTTGTAAGTGATGAAATAAAGCTGTCTTTAAGCAGATCATCTGTCTAAAAGGTTTCCAAAGTTTCTTCTTACTAGCTTTCCCCCCCACTTACCTGATTGCTCGAATAACTGTTTTAAGTGGTGGGGTGAGATCTTCTATGGATACATCACACTGGCATCCTCTTTCATCATAGCTCTCATCTGCACCAACGTTGGCATCAGCTGTTAAACAGAAACATTACATAAATCCAAATGCATATTGTACGTTTATTAACTCAATGTAATTGTCTGATAAAATGCAAATTAGAGATTTTAAGTGGAGCACTCTCCCCCGGTGGGAATAGCAACATATTTTTTCTTCCTCAATGATCCATGTATTCGTAGAGCTTATATGTTTGCTCGTTTTAATGTATTGCCTTCCACAGTACTTCAAGGGAGATTTTCAAAGACTCCTTACGCACAAAGCTTATGTGATCATGGAAGAAAGGAAGTAGAATGTATTGAGCATGTCCTTTTGTATTGTGATTATTATGCTGACATTCGTGTTAAGTATTTAGATTGGTTGTTAATGGATTTAATAGGCCAATCTGATAATTATAGGTTCTTTTTTCTTGTTTCCTCAAAAAATGCTATAACTATTGAAATAGTGGCAACTTTTCTATATCTGGCTTCTAAAAAGCGAGTTATATGTTAAATGTACTGAGTACTCCTTATGTCTTGTATACTTCTTAGTACATAATGCCAATAAAAGTTGTTGTATTATTGTAAGTGGAGCACTAAAGCTTGAAAAGGTTTCATGATAGTTGTCTTGATACATAGTTTCTCTTTCAGTTCAGTGCTTTTAAGATATTTTCTTGATCAAACCCTACTGTAGTCAGGAGTGGGGAATTGTCACTGTGCATGTTCTTAACAGAACAGTAGACTATTTAAACCTATCTAATCTTGGGGCTAAAGTACACATTCAGCAATAGTAGACTGGGTTGCTGCTGAACAACCAAATGTACTGTTGAAAGACAGGTAGATGAACAATTTCAAGCAAGCTGAGCCCTTTCTCTGTGTAACATTTTTTCTGCCTAGTTTTTTCCTAGCTGGGTTCAAAACCCAGAAGTTACCTCAAAAGAATTTCAGGAGTCATCAATGGATATTAACACCCATATGCTAGTCATCAAGCTCCGCTCAATTCTTTGATTTCCCTCCAGGAGAGCCATCAAGCTTTGTCCAAGTCTTTGGCAAAATTCCAGTAAACACGTCAAGCTATTGTTTTTGGGACAAACCTGTCATTGTGCCTGTCATGAGTCAGCCAGGGCTCAGCAATAGTCAGGAGAAAAAGAACTCCTCAGGAGAAGAGAAGCCCTGTGTAACCAGCTGACCAGCAGGCAAATGAGCTGCAGGCTTGTCAGGATTCAAAGCCAACAGTTGATCCAGAGCCACCGACATCCTCCAGCCCTGATTCATCAGGTGAACTTTGGTTGGCCATTCCCAGCCCACCGACATCACCTACACCCTCAGAGTGCCACAGATGGAGGGTGAGAACTGAGCAACATACGAGATGACAAAGAGTACACCTCCTGGCCCAATGCCTGCTGTTTTCTGGTAATGAAGATGAGTAGTTGCAGGATTGCTTCTGTGTAACTGGTTGCAAGAATGGCCCTTAGGCATGGGGCTGTAAAACTAGCCAAGAGAGGCTGTTAGGCATCGATGCAACACAAACAATACATGCTAAGCCACTGACTCTGCCTTGCCTGACTTCTGGATCTCTGACCTTGGACTAAATGACTCTGCTTTGCTTACTTCTGGACCCCTGACCTTGGACTGAACAATGCTGCTTTGCCTGACCTCTGGCACCTGATACTCAAAGCCTGCAAGCCAGTACAGTTTCTCAGGGTACATTTTCCCTATAAATACAGGCTCTCATCTCGATTGTGTGTGTGTTCTCGACATCAAGCTCACACCCCACTTGTGTGTGGGAGATTCCCCCTTAAAGCACTGGTTGTCTCTCTCCTCTGCGGACCTGAATTGCCAAGACTGGTAAATATCACCTTTGAAACTTTCCCCAGGCCTCCCTGTTTTTCTCTTAACTAGCTTGTGTGCTTTTCAGTGTACTTGCATGTGTGTTTTGCTCTTTTATTATTTTTCAATAAAACAACTTCCATCAGACTGGTTTATTCTGAGAGTTCTCTAAGGGAACGATCCTGGTATAAATTGGTAGAGATCCCAAGTTGCCCACCTCTCACTTTGTCTCCAATAAAGCTAATTTCCCCCACTAATTAGGAGACTGCCAATTTGGGTAACACCGGGGGAGTTCATAGAAATACTCTGAATGAGGGAAGAAAGGGGACTTGATTGCTTTCCCCAGCCTTGCAATGGCCAAGATCCAGAGGTCAGATGTTATTACTCTCCACCCCCAGGCCAGAGTATGTTGATGCAGAGTAATAGTGATAGACAAAGGGAAGACCCCCCCCAAAAAAAACCCCTTCATTTGAAGCCAGAGGTACCTTTTGTCTCATTAGATGAAAACATGACTTGGATGAAGATAAAAAGAAGAGGTCTTCTGAATAAGGACAAGTTGATCAAGACTTTCAGACACCCATGTACTTAGTTGTTTGGCTCAATAGATTCTGCTTCTGTTTAAAGGAAGGCTTTTGTAATGTCCATGGAACTGGAGTTAATTTGACCGTTTGCATCTGCTTTAATGTCTCATCTTTTCTGGTGCGAAAAAGCCCATCCCTTTGAAAGCTAAATCTTCAATTCTTTTATGAGCCTCTGGTTGAAGTGAGGTCAAGCACAGCCTGGCAAGATGTTCAATAATCGCAACTGTAGTCATTGTCTTTGCTCCACAAACAGCTCCATGTCAATTGTGACAAGTTGCTGACATGTGAGACCCAGTGCGTCATCCTTAAAAATGAAGGCAGTCTGTTTCGTATCCTCAGAGAGGCAGTAAATGAGTGGCAAGACCTTCTCCCATAATAAGTGGTTATATTGAGTCATACAGACCATATAATTGGATAGTTTCAGAGATGGAGTTGCAGAAACTTAGACTGTATGTACCATCTATACCCTAATAGCCAAATCAGAAGATATTTAAATCTGTAGACTGGACCCATGAACAGACAAGACTGATCTTTCTACAAACCTGAAAAATGCCCCAGGTTTGAAGAAAAATCTGAAATCTCAAAAAAGGGTAAAGGTAAAAGGGGGGAGGGATTTTTTTTTAAAAAACCCAAATGATAAAAAGTGCCTACAGCTTTAAGAAACAGATGCCTCCAGTGGCTATTGCTATGCAACCACAACAGACTTGGTTCCTGTCAGTAAAAGGCAAGGGGAGTGAACAGGGCCCTTTTCAGGGATGTTTTGGCCTTTGAGGGAGGGCTCATCAAGGCAATGCCCAGCAAAAACCACAGGGTGACTTGGTAACACACAACTTGCATGATTCACCTAGGCCTGGCTTCATGATAACACTCAGCAGAAGCTATCCCATAAAAGCCAGTGTGGTGTACTTATTACAGTTTCAGACTATGATCAAAAATCCCCCTTCTGCGCTGGAAGCTCTCTGGGTGACCTTTGGTCAGTTACACATTCTCAGCTTAACTCACCTCACAGGCAGGGCTAAGAGTGACCATTAAGAGGACCTGGATGCCTTCTGGTGGGCTCATGGTCTCCTACCCACACCTGGGCCAGCCAGCCCTTTGACAGAAGGGGTCCTGACCCACCTAAGCTTTATGAAAGGTGGGAGGGTCAGCACACAGACAGTTTGAGGCAAGGCAGGGAAGACAGAACCCAGCCTGCTGGAGAGCCCAACAGAGAGGCAAGATGGAGGAAGTGGTGGAGCCCGACAGCCTATTCAGCGTGAGACAGACACTGGTGCCCAACCAACCCCTGCATGAGGTTGACACCCCAGCTGAACCCCACATGAGGGAGGACAGACAGTGGCGCCTGGCATGGCTGAACCCTGTGTGATGTGGCATCCAGGGAAGCCCTACATGAGGCAAAGGCTGGTTTCTGGCTGAGCCCCATGCAAAACAGTACCCAGCTGAGCAAGATGAGGCAAGACAGAGGATGGCTCCTTTCACAGCTGAACCCACATGAAGCAAGAGGCCAGTGTCTGTCTGAGCCCCACGTGAGGCAGAGGACACTGCCCGGTGTAACAGGCCAGATTAACCCCCCAGGCCTGCTTTCTGGGGCTGCTGTCTTTTCCTACTAAGAGAGATACTTCCCCAATAACCAGAGAGAACCACCTTCTGTTGCCAGAGGCGCTGTCTTTTACTCTTGGGAAGCCCCAATACCGAGGGCACCCCACTTATAACATGACCCAGAGAACCACAGGACTCAGGCAAAGGAAGACACCCAAGTCCCATGATGATTATCCTAGTGACGCTGCAAATGACAGCCTGAAGCAGAAGACACTCAAAAGACCATGTGAGGGACCAGACAATGATGACATCAACATCTCACAGCAGATGAAGACTTTCAACCCACTACCAAGTTCTGTAAGAAAGTATCTTAGCACCACTCTTGGCCTTTCATTTGTAAAGGTTGTGTACTGTGGACGCACAAGGGAGCTTGGGCATCCACGGCGTATGTATAAAACCAAAGGTGATCGGAACTGCTACTTCCGGGCCATCAGCTACATCCTGACAGGATCAGAGGACAACCACTCCCTTCTTAGAAATAAAGTCATCCACCACATGAACACTGACTTGACAGAGAAACTACAGGACTACTTGAACCGGAATGTGAGTGAATATGTGAGCACTTCTGGCATCTCTCATGATGGAGTCTGGGCAACTGATGCAGAGATCATGGCCACAGCGAATCTGCTGAGTTGCGACATCCTCATCCACACAAAAGCTGGTCACTCCATGGAATGGTTGACCTATCCCGCAAGCTTCAATCTGCAGTCAACAACAGAGCATGCACTTTATCTTGGAAACAAGCATGATCATTTTGATGTTGTCATTAGTGTTTAGCTTTGAATAATTATATCTCTGTGGGTACTTGGTAGCCCATCAAAGTAGAAGTTTCAGGATGTTATGACTTATATTACATTATGGACAGCTAAGTTAAGTGAACATCAAGTCTAATGTTTTTACTGTTGGTTTTTTTCCTGGTTGAAGTAATAAAATTCTATGTGTGCAGAGTTCTAAGACTGAAGTCAATCAGCTTTCTCATGTGACTTACCTGTCTGTCTCTGCTCTACCATTTCTTTCTTTCTTTCTTTCTTTCTTTCTTTCTT